ATAGATAGATAGATAGATAGATAGATAGATAGATAGATAGATAGATAGACAGACAGATAGGACTGCATAGCTTGCTCAGTCATTAAGATGATGGACTTCCCATGAACCCAAGTTCCATTCCCAGCACCATATCAATAGGCTCACAGCCATCCATAACTCGTCTCTGGGGAAGCCCACGTTTTCTTCTGGCCTTGGCATGCACCCACACATAAGTTGCATATGCTCACACAGACACACACAAACACATAATTTAAGAAAATAAAGGCAAATCTTTACAGCCTAGAGAGATGGATTGGCACTTAAGATCACTACTGCTGCTCTTCCAAGGGACCCGAGTTTGGTTCTCAGCACCCACATCAGGTGGGACACCTCAGCCCCTGGAAATCTGAAGCCCTCTCCTGGTCTCCACAGGAATCATGTGCTTAAACCCCCCACACAAGTACACATAAGTAAAAATAAAATGAATCTTTAAAAAATGAATTTGTCATTCATATTTTTCTTTGAAATTGTACAAAACAATGTCATAAATAGTCAGAAATAAAATTACTTAACAGAACAACAGAATTCTTGGCTGTAGCTATGTTAGAGGTCTTTCACTTACTGTAGTCACTTCCTCAACTGGGCTCTGTCTGGTTACAGCCCCAACCATTCCTCGAAAATCGCTCTCCCTGAAGTCGCTAACCATTCCCTAAGATGAAGATTGGGGGGCCTGGGAAGGGAAGGTACGCGGAGGTGGATGACAACCTGGAGCAGAGTGGGTAACAGTAGATGGGACGGGGCAAGAGGTGAGGTCATTGTCTGCAAGGTGAACAAGTGATCTGGAACCAAGTCTGAAGCCAAGCATTCCCAAGGGTCAGGCAGGCCAGTTAGCAGCCAACTCACCTAAACAGAAGACGAGATCCAGACCCAAATGGACTCCAAACAGGGTCAGGCTGAGGAAACAGAAGTCCAGGAGGAACGCTACAAGGAACCAATGATGGAGAATCCGAACTCACAAAGCTCACAGTGCAACAGGCTGGCTTTCCCTGGGAGTGTCTGGTGAAAAGTTCAAACTCACAGTTATCTCTGTCAGAGACAAGAGATGGGCTCCCAGGGGCACTCCTATATTGCATAAGTCAACAAAGTGCCGGCCACACCCAACTTCCTCTTTGAGGTGAAACTGCCCCACCCACAGCCCCCTGCTCTGAGCAGCTGAACTGGGTTGGTCTTTACCCAGGAATGGCTCTTGATTGGACCAGAAATTGGCTGTGATCTGAGAGTCGCCTTCCCAAACACCAACCCCAGGAGCAAAAGATAAGCTTCATCTATCCAATTCTGTCCTTCCAAGACACGGGCCAGGAGGCAAGAGATGAAGAATCTGCATTTGTCTGTGGAAATGCAGCTGAAAGGATGCCATACAGCTGAGTAGGGCCTTTGAAGGGGGTAGCAACCCAAATCTGTGAGGAAGCAGAGCAGTATGGTATGAACAGGTTTATGACGAAGCAGTAATTATGAGGCAGAGAAAAGATGGGTGTCAACAGATCCTGTTAGTGGGGAAAGCGGGAAGGGAGAAAATTTGAGAAAAGGGGCTGAGCGGTGGCTCACCTCTATCCTGAAGATCTTGTCATCTTGTCACAGCCTCTTTCCCGTCACCTGGATGCACCCACCTCAATAAACCCCATGCCTTTCCTGAAGCCGCCTCCCACTATGCCGAGTTCCCACATGTTGAGCACCGACCGTGAACTAGACATGGTTCCAGGTAGTTGGGATCCATCAGTGAAGACCTCATAAGCAGGACTTGCAGAAGAACACTTTGTTGCTGGAGGTGTGGTCTCTGTGTCAAAGGACCAAATTACAAGAACTCCTAGCTGGGCGCCATGGCTTGCACCCATAACCTCTGCACTCGAGAGGCCAAGGACGGAGAGTTGCTGTGGATTTGAGAGCAACCAAGGCTTCAAAGAGTGAGGAAGGACAGCTCCAGAGTAAGACACTGCCTGAAAAATGTGAATGAGAAAACCACCGTGGAGGAAATCTCTTCTACCCTCGGCTTTTCCATGATCCATCACGATGTCATCGTGATTCAACTCCCTCTTTGGAGCCCACGTCCTGTTCTGCTCACATTGCTGGTGGCTGGAGAATTAGGAGAGTCACCAAATGCTCATTTTAAAACTTGGCTTTACCGGTTACTCCTTTGGCCTTTGACATAGTCTCTCGGCTGTGAGCAGAAGACGAAACAGCGCGCTTGTCACTGCTTTTTTTTTTTTTTTTTTTGCAAGAATTATGTGGCATCCTATACCCAAATCTTCTCTCCAAAGGCCAATAACAGCCAGAATCTGAAACATAAAGCTTCCTTCTGCTCGGTGCACACCTTCTCAGGCACTCCCTGCCTGTGGAAGTACGAACAGTACTGGGGGAAAGGAGTGAGCGCATGGTTAGGGAGAAAACCGCGGTCACATAGGCCAGCTGTCCTGGAAGGAAGAAGCACTCTTCTCTGCATCCCGGTCTTACCTGTCCACGTGTGGTGGGCAGAAGGATACACCTCACAGGCCCAGCTCAGCCAGAGGAGGAATCAGAGGTGGAAATTCCACAGGCGGAGCTCTGGAGGCCTTAGGGTCCGAAATCATGACTGTTCTGCAGGAAGCCTGGTTTCCCATGCTTCAGGTGCTGGTTGTTCTGAGGTAGTGCCTCAGAACAGTCCTTGCGTGCTGCTCCCCAAGCAGGTGGCCGAGCTGAGGCTCAGGCCTTTCTGACATGGGGGAGCTCTGCCCTTCTCTTTACACTGCTCCCCACTGCCTCCACAGAAGCAGAGGCTCTGGGCAAGCACCTCGTGGAAAAGCAGAGATCTGTCATCCAAGAGAACAATCGAGAAACACTCAAGTGACTCTTCCAGGGGTGACTCTGTGGCTTCCAGGGTAGAGCATCTACTCGGTAACTCCTGTCCCTGATTACGTAGCCGACAACTGACATCTGTCTTCATGTCATCAGCTAGAGCCCCCAGGGCTGGGTTTGCTTTTTGTCACTGTAACAAAGTATCTGAGGTAAATCAACTTGAAGGAGGAAAAGGGTCATTTTGTCTCATGACAGACGTCATGACCTCAGTCACCTGACGTGGCTGCTGTCAGGCCTGTGGTGAGAGATTTCCTCTTGATAGAAGCTCCTGGCAGAAGGAAGCTGCTCACCTGTGGTGTCCAAAATGTCAAGAGGCGAGAAAAGATGGGCCGGAGTCCCCCGGAGTCCCAAAGACTCCTTCACGTACAACCACAGTGACCACCTCCTTTCCTTCCGTTAGGCCTCCTCACTTGAAGGCTGCACCTCCATAGCTGATGACTAATCCTTTAACTTACAGTGTTTGGAGGCTATTTCATACCCAAACTGCAAGAAGTGTTTGATGACATCCTGGGGAGAAGAATCTTCTCTATTTTATTTTATTTGTTTGTTTGCTTACTTATTTATGTATGTATTTGGAAATGGGATCTCACTATGATGGCCCGGAACTCACAGAGATCCCCTGCCCTCTGTGTCCCAAGTGCTGAGATTAAAGGTGTGTGCTTTCCCGCCCCGTTCTTTTCTATGTGCAGTTACGATTCATGGAGGACTCTGTAGGGTTCCTTCTGGGTCAGGACTGCCCTCTCCACAATGAGGGCAGCACCAGTCTGTCTCGATAGTGCAGACTAAAAACGATCTGGGCTTGGTTGTACAGAGTTGGCACACTGGAGAACAGGGTGGGGCTGCCTGGATGGAACTCGCAACTTCCATCTCTTGCGAGTTTTGAAATCTGTGTTACCTGAACAAGAAGCTAACATACGGCTCTGTCTCCAGGCTCCTAGCCTGTAAAACAGCAGTAATAACACTGTATGTTTCTTACAACTGTAGAAGTTTGAGTGAGTTAAAGCAGCCACATTCTGAGAGCAGCGCCCGAGTTGCAGCTCTTCTACTGGAGCAGAGGTGAGGGGAGTTTTGAGTTGCATGGACATAGTGCCAACCTCAGCATGTCATGGCCAGTTTCCTTCTCTGTTTTAGGAGGTCATTATTAGGACAGCTAATGCACATACACACACACACACACACACACACACACACACACAGAGAGAGAGAGAGAGAGAGAGAGAGAGAGAGAGAGAGAGAGAGAGAGAAATATCTCTTAGATTATCCATTTTCCACTTTGAAATTCTGACCAGGGCTACTTGAGTACAATGAACTTTAAAAACTCCAAAACCACATTTTCAGAAACTGTTTAAGAGGATCTGATGCAAACTCAAGTCCAAATGGATCAAAGACCTCAACATAACGCCAGCCACACTGAACCTCACAGAAGAGAAAGTGGGAAGTACACTCGAACGCATTGGCACAGGAGACCACTTCCTAAATATAACCCCAGTAGCACAGACACTGAGAGAAACAATTAATAGATGGGACCTCTTGAAACTGAGAAGCTTCTGTAAAGCAAAGGACACAGTCAACAAGACAAAACGACAGCCTACAGAATGAGAAAAGATCTTCACCACATCAGACAGAGGTCTGATCTCCAAAATATATAAAGAGCTCAAGAAATTGGTCATCAAAAGAACAAATATTCCAATTAAAAAATTGAGTACAGACCTAAACAGAGCACTCTCAACAGAGGAATCTAAAATGGCTGAAAGACACTTAAGAAAATGCTCAACATCCTTAGTCATCAGAGAAATGCAAATCAAAACAATCTGAGATTCTATCTTACACCTATAAGAATGGCCAAGATCAAAAACACTGATGACAACTTATGCTGGAGAGGTTGTTGGGTAAAGGGAACACTCCTGCATTGCTGGTGGGAGTGCAAGCTGGTCCAGCCCATTTGGATGTCAGTGTGGCGACTTCTCAGAAAATTAGGAAACAACCTTCCTCAAGACCCAGGAATACCACTTTTGGGTGTATATCCAAAAGATGCTCAATTGTGCCGCAAGGACATGTGCTCAACTATGTTCATAGTAGCATTGTTTGTCATAGCCAGAACCTGGAAACAACCTAAATGCCCCTCGACCAAAGAATGGATAAGGAAAATGTGGTACATTTACACAATGGAGTACTACACAGCAGAAAAAACTAACATCTTGAATTTTGCAGCCAAATGGATGGAGCTAAAAAACATTTTGAGTGAGGTAAACCAGACCCAGAAAGACAATTATCACATGTACTCACTCATAAGGGGTTTTTAAACATAAAACAAGGAAAACCAGCCTACAAATCACAATCCCAGGGAACCTAGACAACAATGAGGACCCTAAGAGAGACATATGTAGATTTAATCAACATGGGAAGTAGAAATAGACAAGATCTCCTGAGTAAATTGGAAGCATGGGGACTTTGGAAGAGGGATGAAGGGGAGGGGAGAGACAAGGAGCGGAGCAGAGAAAAACATAGAGTTCAATAAAAATCAATAAAATAAAAAAAATAAAGAAGTCTTGATGCTCTGGGTATCTCAGGACAGCCAGTACTGCAGTTGTGTCTTATTAGGGTGTCCATTGCTGTGAAGAGACACCATGACCACAGCAACACTTGTAAAGGAACACATTTAATGGGGTGGCTCTTTTACAGCTCAGAGGTTCGATCCAATCATCATGGTGGGACATGGCAGACACGGTACTGGAGAAATAACTGAGACTCCTACATCTTGCAGGCAGCAGGAAGTGATCTGAGACACTGGGCAGTATCTTGGATATATATGAGATATCAAAACCTGCCTCCACAGTGACACATTTTCTCCGAGACCACACCTACTCCAAGAAGGCCACACCTCCTAATAGTGCCACGCCCTTTAGGGGCCATTTCCCTTCAAGCCACCACAAGCAGTGTGTAAGCAGAGTTAGGCTGGGTGGCTGTGGAGGTGTTCAACGGAATAGTAGGACATCGCTTAAGAAGGGCAAAGGTCATTCCCTAGATAGTCATGTGGGATAATGGTCTGGTCAGGTGGTACTATGACAGAGGCCCGCATCATCACGGTTCCTGCAAACTGACACTCCTTAGCCAGTTTTTATTCTTCGTTTTCCAAATGAAGTTGATTGAAGGTAAAGTATGGGCACACAGATCAGATTTTTTGGAAGTCCCCGCCCCCCTCCCACACCGAGGTAGACCAGAAGTAAGAGGAACATAGACAGATCTAGCAGATGCTTG